CCTGCACAGACACTGACATTGTGAAGCACCTTGGGAACTGGATAGCACAAGATTCCTTGTCTGAAGTCGAAGAGGGTGAGATCACATGCAGGGCCCAGGTATCGAGTCAGCTCAACTTTGCTTCGAATCTTCTCTCCTGTGGGGCTGAGAATGAACCAGAACGAATTGGCACCAAGATGGTGCTAATGTCATGCCACTCACAGAACATCCCCATGGTGAGATGTAGGAAGCAGTCTGGATTCAGCCTGTGAGCCTCACCCAAGTCCTTCAATATAACTAACAGGAATACAAAATATGAATATAAATACCAGCATGCACACAAATGTTAATAAATAATACAACTGTGAACCTCATTTTGATCCATGACATCACATATTCTATGGTAATCACATAGAATTATAATGCAGGGGAAAATTCTATTATCTGACAATACTGTAATAATGTTAATGTCATAACACAAAACAGTATTCAGGCACCTATAGTGGTATATACAGAGGTATATACACAAGTGGTGTATAAAAGAGTAAACAAGCCTAGTGTATTGCACATTGATGTACAGTACATGCTTGGTTAATAATAATTACAATTACTGGTTTATAAACTTAGTGATTCTTATCATTATTTTAGAGTCCTACTTAACAAAAAAAATTAATGTACTGTGAAACTGCAATGTCAGACTAGTAGTAACCTAATACAATTAAATGGTTATTGCTTCTTTTGACTTCATAATTCTCTCGTGTTTGATTTAATCTCATGATTTTTGTTCAGCATAGGAGCATATTCAATAGCTTATATAATTATATGGTATTCAATGATGTTCTCATCAATGATCAACTGCATATACACAAAAGTCCCATAAGATAATATTGTCTAATGACACCACATGTCCTAGTTTTATAATCTATGGTTTTCACATGAAAAATCATTAAATAACATGTTTCTCAGAATATATCAGTCCTAGTAAGCAACGTATGACTATATGAATATTTGACTTAGGTGTATAATGTAGTGTATTATGCCACCCGAGTTTGTGTAACTGTATTCACTGTATATTTCTCAGATTGTATTACTATTGGTAACTGTATATAGACACATAAAACAGGCAGGCATGGTAGCACATGCCTTTAATCTCAGCACTTGGGGGGCAAAGGCAGGTGGATGGATCTCTGTGAGTTTAAGGCCAGCCTGGTCTACACAATGAGTTCCAGTGTAGCCAAGGCTCTGTAGAAAGCAACCCTGTCTCAAAAATGAATAAAAATAAAGACACACAAACATACTTACAACATGTAACACTATTAGTGTTGAAAATATGAGTAAAAATCGACACAAAACACATATTAAGTAACATGTAAATATGTATTTTGTTTTGTTCTGCTTTGAGATGGGGATATCATTTTAACCTAGAGGGCTTTGAAACTCCTATGTAAAGAAAGATGACCTAGAACTTCTGATCCTCCTGCCTCTTCCACACCAGTGCTAGGATTTCAGAAGTGTACTACCACACTTAGTTTATGTAGTCCTGGAAATCAAACCCATGGCTTCATGAACATTAGACAAGTGCCCAGTACTTAAATATGTTATGTATTACATACCAAATGAATGAGCATTAAAGCTTAGAACAGAGGTATTTTTTAAAACATGAAAGTGAAACTACATTCAATACAAAGTATAAGTAGCTAATGTTGAGGGATGACACTCCAAGTCTTTTCACTTCTGCAAGAATTGTGAGAGGCATTCAGTGTCTCTTGAAACAAACTACCTTCTCATTTTCTGTAAAAACAAGTAACTTTAGAAAAGGTCCCCTTCCAGGGGAAAGGGCAGCATGCTTATTATACTGCTACTTGATTACCTATGCTCAAATAGACAGGCTGTCTTTCCAATAGACAGTGCAGCATATATGCTACTTAGCCCTCTTCACGTCATCCAATGGGAACTGGGATTCCGGGAAATGTCAGAAACAGATATTTTCGGTTCTGATACTACTATGAGAAGCTTTTTTTATCTTTGGCCCATAAGTACCACATTTCCTACCAGCATCTGCAAAACTAACAAACCAATTTACTACTCTGAGAAATATGTATCTTTTGACAATTACTTTTAAGTTTTGAAATTTTTATATAATTTCATATGTGAAAAAAAGTTATAAACATAATGAAAACTATCTGAAATTGTATTACATTCTTCTAGGGAAATGGCAACTCAGATAAACAGGAAGGGTGGAGAAATGTTAATAGCTCTATCACAAATACATTCTAACACATGCTTCTGAACCTCAAGGCTGATGTATTTACAGTCAATTCTCATTATATATGTAGTAATTATGTGTTAGGAAGTTGCTACAAACACCCTGAATTTATGGAACAAGAACCACTGCTCCCACAGGAAATACACAGTAGGTTCCAGCACGGCCGCCACATTTTCAGCAGCTCATCAATGCAGTCTTGTTGTATGTGCTTCAAGACACTGTAACATTCTTTCTTACAAATGACTCCATGATCGGTTAATGATTAAGGGCCACTGGCTTCAGAGGATGTTCTGTCTACGTTTGTCTGCCAGTGTTTTGGTTTTGTTTTTCTGAACACACCTGATGTACAGAACCTGTATCACAAGTTTAAGGTCTTCATGCCATATCACCTTATGAAACACGAAAGCCAGCCAGAAGCAGCTAAAATGGTTTATATTTTCCTAATGCTGGCTAATAGGTCTTGGGCCTTCTTCACAACAATGCTGTTCAGTATGCCTTACTGGCCACCAGTTCACAGATCTACAGATTTAGCTGCTTTCCCAACTCCTCTGACGTTTCATCAAGTACTACAGATGTTAGTTTTTGTTCTTCCCAGAGCGGCCTCACACAATCCCAGCAAGTTTCCTCTTCTCTTTCGGAACGCACCATTTCTGAGTCTTAACATTGTAACTCAAGCGGATAGTACATGCAATTCATGGAAGAAACTTATCTGACAAGGAGAAAAGCATGTGACCGTCTTCTTGCACTCAGAACACTAGAAAACCTTCAGCACTTTATTTGGGAGTCATTTTAAACAACAAATTTGGCAAGAAAACTATGGCACTAAATAGACAACAGAAAGAATGCTCGATTTGCAGTACAAAAGGAAACAAAAGGTTCTTGTTCAACTGACTGGGAATGCAAGCACTAGACAAGTCAAATCTTTAGCTGACCCATGCGTGTCTGTGAATAATCACAAATGCACTGTGAATACTGACTTTGGTCAAATAAAACTTTATTAAGAATAGGTGACTGTGAGAACACAAAACTTTTAATAAGGACCGACTACATGCACAATGTGAATTCCATTCGTTTAACTACTAACTAGGTCCCACTCCACTGAACACTGTCCACAACCCACCCATTACCTCTGATAATAGATGTCTGAGCGTCCACAAGAGGCCCCTGACTTTCGAAAGGCCTCACGTCGCTTCCAGCCAGGGCCCAGGGCTGGGCAGTCTTGCCAGTCCTCAGCCATAGATGCTTCAGGAAAAGAACAGAAGCCTGCAGGATTGGAAGCAGGTAGAGCATGGAAGAAATTGAGGCTCTAGAAAGTGGGGGAACTGTTTCCAGGCCACAAAAGTCATGTTTCCTTTAATACTCGCCCCAGACCTGCACACATACTTCCATGGTGCAGACTACTCATTCTGTCTGAGAAGACAAGCTGCTCCTACTCTGGGTATGAGGTCCCTATTTCTCTTTTCCTCGGCCCCCTCCTACTTCAGTTTAACTTCATTTAAACTTTCCTTGACCTGAGTTTCCAATGCCTTTCAGTGTTTCAGCTGCATTTATGTGCATGAAAGCCCCCAACTCCATCTATCTTCCCATTCCTCAGCCTGGAAGCCTCCGGTGTCTCCCCTTCTTAAACCCAAGAGCTCTCCCCAAAACTTCTTTTCCCTCATTACTCTGACCCACAATTCCTCTCCAATCTCATCCCTCACCCCTCCAGCCAGTGTTAACTACTCTCCCCCCTAACTTTGCCATTCTCGATTTCTCTTATCGTCCTGTGAAACTTCCTGGTTCCTTCACATAGTGACCTGCCTCTCAGTTTCTGCTTGTGTTCCAGGACGATACCATCTGTGTGTCCGTCTTCTGACGTTCTCCTCCTTTTTGTCCTCCACGGGTCTCGAGTCCCTCATAATTCTAACCCTGCTATTTCTCCCATCCCGTCTCGGGTCCCGGCTTCTCACTATCAGCTTTGGGTCCCCATTTCTATGCTGTTCACCTGGACGCCTGATGCCTGTCTGAACGTTCTGATCTCTTCCGTTCCTCTTCCCTCCTCGTCCCGGAACCTCGACACGGCTGTCATCGCCCTGAACCACACTCCTTCCCTTCCCCTCTTGGGCCCAGTTTCCCCAGTTCTCTCTTTCAAAGCGCAGAAGACGCCATTCCTCCTCCTGGCCGCAGGGCCCTGCGCGTCTCCCCGCTAGCGTTCGGGAGCCCCAATGCCTCCCAGCCTCCTCCTGAGCTCTCTCTCCACTTGCACTCCCGCGGCTGGCTCACCAGCTTGACACGAGGCCCGCAGCCTGCAGCGCTCTAGGCCCGGGGACCCATGGGGAGGATCCCGCCCGCGCGTCCCGCCTGGTCCACTCTTCTTCTCCTTCCTCTTCCACCGCAGCCTCCTCCTTAGCACTAGTTGTGGCCTCCGCGGCCGTTGGCTACTCCCGGAACCGGAAACCCACGGGCTGCCTTTCGGGCTCGGACCGTGAACGGCACCTGTGTGCAGCCCGGACACGCCTGCCCTCAGTGGGGTGGCTCCGGCGCCTGCGTACTGCCGATTCCGTGGGGCGCGCGGTTTGCCCGGGACCTGCTGCGCCTGCGCGCTGACGACATCCGCAGCCCGCACGGATTCCCTTGGTCTGTGCGCCTGCGCCCCGAGCTCCCCGCATTTGCGTCCTTCCCACTCTGCTTGTCCCGAGAGCGAGCGTGGGCGCCGTCGGGTCCCAACACAAGGGGGCGTGGACGGCCTGGCCACCTCGGCCCGCTCGTAGTTTTTGTCTCCACAAATAGCAGGCGTGTGATCGCCTAGCTTGTGTCTGTCCACTTCCTTTCCTAGAAGACACCCCTCCTTTGTTCCTGTGACTACCTTCTTCAGGATTGGTACCCACTACTTCCGGGAACTTCCAGGGTCTCTGCACCCTGGCCAGGTTCCTTCCTCGGGAACCAGGGGGGAGGGCATGGTGCGGAAGCAGGGAATGAGGGTGCAAGTGAGAGCTTGCCCATCCCTCAAAGGCCCAAATGGGAGGGGATGGTGAACTGACCAAGGTAACCCGTTTTGCTTTAACCTGACTCCATTTGTGTGCTTCACCCAACAGCTCCGTGGCCCTGATGGGTTATGGTGTTACGGGGTTGCAGACCACTGGGAAACATCACGCAGACTCAAACAAATCCAGTTAGCTGAATGTTGGCCAGCTGACTGTAAGAGGTCTGAACTTCCTCCATTTTACAAACTGGGTCCAAGTTTCTGTTTCTTAAAGGGCTGTTAATCAACAAACAGCACCCCTGATAGCAGGGACAAGGGAGAGAGCATGGACAAGGCCTGATTCCGCGTCACAGTATCTCAAAGCAATGACCAATAAGGACAGTTCCTACCGGTTGTGCCCAGATCGAGACCCCCATTGAGACCACTGAAGTCGAGCATTCTGGAATGCAAAAGCAAGGCTTTATTCGGGCGCAATACAAGCCTAGTCAGGGACCTCGGCAAGCACACCCGACCCAGCGGAGGATGGAATAGGTACTCAGCCTGAATTGAACATAGTTTTTTAAAGGCAAAAACCATAGGATTACAACAGCAAAGAATTATTTCCGTACGGGTACGTTTCTGATTTGCTCATTTCTAGGGACTTTCCGGAAGCCTTGTCTTCATCTTACTGCTAAGCGGGTAGTTGTTTGTCCACATTTCTCATTGGCTGCCTGCGGGTGGGGACATTCTGCGGTTAAACAGTCACTCCCAGATGGTTAACTTGATATCCTGTACTTTGTACTTTCAGGTTCCTGGAATTTGGGTCAACGGTTCCAGGAACCTACACCTAGAATGTAGAAGCTTACAAAATGGAGGCCTTATTAAGATGGAGGTGCTTTGGTCTCACACTACAACCTCCCCCCTTCAAAACTTACCCAGGTATGTCCAAAGAGGAAAAGACTAAAACCTCGGCCTATCAAAAATGTACTAAAATAACTGCCGCCTGCTTAATCAATTTTATTTTAGATGACCTGTTCCTGAAATACCCCTAGCTACACTTAAAAGTGTTAGGATTCCTAACCACCACCACCACCACCACCACCCCACCAGCTACATGACCCTATATGTGCTGTCCAGCAGCCAGGCAAGATGCTTAGTCATCCCAGGGCCTTTTGTCGTATGTAATACATGCGCCATGAGATCCCAGGGCCTTATGTTCTATGTAATACATGCACCGTGAGATCATGTAATTTGCGCACAGCTGCGTAGGACTATATGTGCATGCTGGGAGGGGGGAGGGGTGGCGGCAATAAAAGCAGATTCAACCCGTTCCTCCCCTCCTTCCCACACCTGTCATTTCTATAGACCTATGAACCTCTTTACACCTATCCCCTTTCCTTAATAAGCTCTTATAGTGGATTTTGTTGTACCTTGTGTTACTCTCACATGGTAAACAATGCCGCATAATAAATAGCCCCACATTGGGCGCCAATATTATGATATACACGTGCTGGCGGGTAGAACCAAGTGTCCCTTGGCAGGTGAGAGACAGAGATGCCATGCAGACAATGCTCAGTCAAGAGTTTTATTTGATGGGGGAGGGAGAGAGGGGAGAGAGAAAGAGGGAAAGAGAGATAGAGAGAAGGAGAAGGGAGAAGAGTTTGGGAGGTGTGCATCTCGTGGTGGGAAGACAGAAGAGATAGGACAAGAAAGAGAAATGGGCAGAGTTTCCCTTAAGAATAGGCTTTTACTTCAGGGCATAGGGTGGTGCCAAGGGGGCAGAATCAGAATATGTCTACTCCTGGTAGTACTAACCTACTTCAGAGAAGATGATTGGCATCAAGGAAACCCCATATGGAGTTTACTTTCTCTGTGGCAGAATTTAGCACTGGGCAAAGAAACTGCCCTTGCCTCAGTTGCTGACATTTACTATCCAAACTGGACCTGCAGGACACAAAAAAGGTAACTGCCAAACTTTGCCAAGACAAGGTAGAACCACCCTTCAGAATTCCCTGGTTCAAAGGAAAGTCTGTCAAATACACTCAGCCTACAGGCCCAAGTTGGATACCCCAACGTTACAAAGGTACTTTGGGAGACTGTCCAGGCAGCTTGAGATCCCTGTCATTAGATAGCATTTCATCCTTTTGGGGTCTTGGATGTAGTTGAAGATTTGATAGTTATAGTTTCTCTTAGTTAAGACAAAAGGTAAATTAGGTACAAAATGTTGGAGTCACATAGTAAAATATTTTCTCTAATTTTGTCAAATACAAATGGACTAGATATTTTAACTGAAATTCTTACTTGGTAACAGTTTTGCTGTATAACTATTTACTATGTTAAGCCTGAGCTATTGGTGGAGTATTTATAAGTCATATTCTGCCTCTGAGTCAGTTATTTGGAACTGGGTGGTCAGGACAGGAAACATCCATTTACAAATACAGTGTAACAAAAATAGCCTTAAATTTGTATCAATATACAAAAATCCATACTGATGTAAAATATTTGAGACTGATGGTTGTTTAAAAGTAGACTCAATAATCCATCCTTTTATCCCATCATTTCTATACTATATCCCCTCTTTTTTCCTTCAGAAAGAGATCCCTGAATCTAATCTCCTTTGTTCAGTTTTTTTCTCTGGCCATGACCAGAAACAATTTGCAGCCAACCCCCCTAAATGATGATAAACATCCAGAAGCCACCAAACAGCCAAAAACCATCCACCCCACCTCTTGGGAATGTGGGTGCCATGTTCTCAAGACTTCTTCCTGCTGTCTGGGGGTGATTACATCTTAGGGGGATCCTGAGAAATTTAAGATAATGTTCAAGTCTAGCTGTTATCTAGTCTTGGTGTGATGGGAAAATATAGGGCTTATCTAAAATCTGGCTGGAGTAGTCTGTGAGGCCGGACCATCTCAGCCAGCAACCATGAAGCTGCTCTGCATGCAAAACTCTGAGGAAACTGCAACAGAGGCACTCTGTTGGATCACCTGGGCCACCTATTTTCATTGTGTCTGGTATGCTGTGGGATGGTCTGTATGTCAAATGTGTTGCTGATTGGTCAATGAATAAATCACTGATTGGCCAGTGGCCAGGCAGGAAGTATAGGCGGGACTAACAGAGAGGAGAATGGAGAGAACAGGAAGCTGGGAGGAGGACACTGCCAGCCGCCATGAGGACAAGGAAGATGTAAAGTACCGGTAAGCCACAAGCCACGTGGCAAGGTATAGATTAATAGAAATGGGTTAATTTAAGCTGTAAAAACAGTTACCAAAAAGCCTGCCATGGCCATACAGTTTGTAACCAATATAAGTCTCTGTGTTTACTTGGTTGGGTCTCAGCGGCTGTAGGACTAGCAGGTAAGAGAAATTTGTCCTGACTGTGGGCCAGGCAGGAAAACTCTAGCTACACTGGTGCCCTTGCTCTGAAAACACATAAAGATTTATATATATACATATGTGTGTGTGTGTGTATGTATGTATGTATGTATATGTATGTATGTATGTGTATGTATATGTGTATACATATACATATATATATATATCTGCATTAACACAAGTATGGAATGTGCACTATGTGCAAATCAGTTAAAGATGGCTTTTTGTTCTATGTCTGAGCAGGTAAAAGGCATCTCTCAACTTTATAAGTCTGTTTGGACTGCATAACCAAACTGTAATATAAATCTCTATCTATGCCTTATAAAAGGATAGCATGTAATAATAAGTCATGAGGACCCGTAGCCAACAAGATTTATCATTTCTCTTCTCATTTCTGAGCTGTTTCCATGCAGAGGGAATCAGTTTACACATCACCTATCCTGTGTTCTTTATTGGCTTCCTCCCCCATGTCTGTAGCCAAGATACTCAGTCAAATCCCTTGGTCAAATCTGACCTCTATTAACCTGAAAAGAATTTACAGCTTTTTGTTTCCTTTGGTAACAAAAGCATAATCTCTTTCCCCAATGTTATACATTTTTTGACCTCCATTTTGAAGTTAAGACATTTAAACATATATAGGTTGGTTTAATTTAGCAGTTTCCATAATCCAATGTCTTTCAACAGCTATTGTTCACTCATCAGCAATCAAAAAATTTAAAGTCAATAAGACACCATACAGGATCCAGACTGTATTTTTTATCTTCACATGGATTATCCTTTTTATATTATTTTATTTTCTCTTTAAAGACATTTTCTTATTATTTATGAACTACTTTTTCTATGACTGCCTATACCTATCTTTTTTAATCCCACACACATTTTCTTAAACACATTGTAACCTGTTTAGAGGGTTTCTGTCCCATCTGGATCTGTCTTTACTGAGCGTCTGTAGCATTCTCTGATGACATGAGACAAATCTTAAACTGCTGTGTCAGCCACCAGGGCAGCTCAGCTTAGTGAATGATGCTGGCTCCAATCTGCAGGCAGTCTCTGTACATAGAGCCTACCTGAGACACCTCGATCACCAGGAAACCGCTTTTGACTCTGGTTTCTGAACCTTTTTTTTTAAAGCATTCTCTGGCTTTATGTGGATATACATGGCTGGATGTTGGGCACCATATGTAATGAGTCTTTCTCTGTCCTACCAGCCAGATCCCAAATCACAATGCAGAGGCATTATTAATTATGAAAGATCGACCAATAACTTAGGCTTGTTTCTAACTAGCTCTTATAACTTAAATTAACCCATTTTTATTAATTTACTTTCTGCCGTATAGCTTTATTACCTTGTCTCCGTAGTACCCATCCTGCTTACTCTGTGTCTCTTGGCATCTCCACCTTATTCTTCCCAGCATCCTCTCTGCCAGGAAATTCTTCCTAGCTATTGGCCACTTGGCTTTTTTTATTAAACCAGTCAGAGTGACACATCTTCACAGTGTACAAAAAGATTATTCCACAGCAGCAGTTAATGAGAGGCAAGTGTCTAGTGTCCAATGGGTAAGGTTATGAATGGTGATCATGCATTTGACCCAGGAGGAATGTACAATCGGGACTCCTCAAAACAGACAGAGTGTTATTCAGTAGCTGATATGCAATTAGGATGGCCCAGATTGTCCCATGATATTTGCAGGACCATTATGGGTAACCTCTTCAAGTTTCTGGCCACTTTTTACAGTACTCATCCATATGATTATAGAGAAAACAGGCATTTAGGTAAGCCCTGGTGAAAGAGAAATGGATAAGGGAGTTACAGGGGACTGAATTAACCTCTGACAGCCGATATAGTGTAATTTCCTAACCCCATGAGGTTAGAGGTAGAGGTCTTTTGAACATTGACTATGCATACATAAGAGCTACCCCAAACAGGTATAAAAAGGAAGAAATAGAGGAATAGAGAGAAAGTTTATATATAAAAGATTTTTGGGTCATTTGTTTGATGTGAGTCTTTAGCTGTCCTACCTGCCAGCTCCCAAATCATAGAGACTTAATTATTAATTATGAAAGCTTGGCTGGCAGCTTAGGCTTGTTTCTAATTAGTTCTTATAACTTAAATTAACCCATATCTTTTAATCTACATTCTTTTATGTGGCTCAGTTACTTTTACTTCGTAATACCCATGCTGCTTGCTCTATGTCCCCTGGTGTCTCCACCCTTCCCAGTATCCTCTCTGCCTGGATATCCTGCCTAGCCATTGGCCATTCAGCTTTTTATTAAGCCAATCATAATGACATATCTTTATACAGTGTAATCAAATATCTTGCAAATTTCTTTGTGCAGTCACATTGTCACCATTGAAAATCAAGCATGTCAATTTTTGCCATTGAACTGTACTGAGGCCAAGTTGTTTATAATAACAGAGCAAGGTTGTACTAAAATCTGAGTCTGTGGAGGAAGACAAGAAAGGTCACTGTAGTTGGACTTTCTTGTTGGCTGCCAGCCCCAAATAATGACATGGAGACTTATTATTAATTATGAAAGCTAGGCCTTTAGGTTAGGCATGTTCCCAACTAGCTCTTATAACTTAAATTAACCTGTATCTATTAATCTATGTTCTGCCACATGGCTTTTATCTCTCTGTCATTCTGTATGTCTGTCTTGCTCCACATCTTGCTGGGGTCTGTTTTGCACCTAGGTTCTTTCCAAGTTCCTCTTTCCCCAGAAGTCCCACCCAACCTCTTCCAGCCTATCTATTGGCCACTCATCTCTTTATTAAACCAATCAGAAGGCACCTTGGCAAAGACATATCTTCACAGTATATAAAAGTATTATCCCACAACAGGTGACAAAATCAACTCCACCAGAGGGAGTTTCTATAAGCTCCAAGTGTGAGCTGAAAGCAAGAGAGAAACCCAGGAGGGCATATAGAAGCTGTGAAACCTTCCAAAGCAGAGCTGAGAGACAGGAGGGATAAGGTCACAGAGGCCCATAAAGGCTTAAGCTGCAAGACTTAGAAGACATCTCCTAGGGGGAGAAGGCAAAGAAAGAGAGGTTGATTCTACCATAAGTAGAGGGGCAAGTGTCTTAAAAAGTAGAGAATTGCCCACATGGTGATGCTCCAGAGGGTGTAGGAGGCTCCAGGAGCAGAGAGGGGACACTTTCCAGGTAGGTGAAGAGATATGGATGGTTAGAGCAGTTGGGGGGAAGGGGCAACTGATGGGTAGCAGAAGCCAGCAGAAATAAAAATTCCATACACACCTTAAGAGAGTCAAATCAGCAACTTGAGTCAAGTTGAAATGTTGAGATATGAGCATGACTGAAAGGTAAGTATCGCATCCTATACCAGTGGTACCTGAATAGAGAGAACTTGCAGACCCTTGTATGTTAGAAGATGGGACAGGTGGTGAGGAGAGAAGACAGTAAAAGTTTATTCAAAGATTAATTTCTTTGATTTGCATTTAAGAAGTTTGACTGTGGCCAGAGGTACATTCTTGTATATGAATGCATGGAAGTGTAGCTTTAATACCTTTTTAAACAAGCATTGTTTTAAATCCCATCTTTTGTAAACTGAACCCAGTGTCCAGAAAGTCCAGCGATAGATTCTGAGCTCTGGCCACCAAAGCAGCCATAGCAAGCAGAGTTAGCAGTGATGGCTGGTGGCTGGCAGTGGCAGAGAGAGCAAAAACAAAACCAACAAACACAAAACACAGGAAGTTCACACACTCAAAGAGCTCTTACAACCTACATTAGCCCATATTTCTTATCTAAGTCCTACCACGTGGCTCATGGCTTGTTACCTCATTTTCTACACATCCTGCATCCTCTGCCTTGTGACTCCCACAACTCCACTCTTCTTCCTAGCATCCTCTTAGTCAGGCTCTCATACCTAATCTCTTCCTACCTCCCTATAGGCCAGTCAGCTCTTCTTTATTAACCAATGAGAGTAATACATATTTACAATGTGCCAAGATTGTTCCGCTGCAGACCAGTCAGAAACAAAACATTTAGTGGCCACCATCATTCATACATTCAACTAAGCCTGAGCAATTTCCATCACAACACCCATGTTTACAATGAAACCTATGGATACACCAGAAAACTGATCCATCTGCACACAGAAAACAGACAGAACTTCCAAACAACTAGAATCCAGTTGGCAGGCTACATCTTGTCTTTTACTCTGGATGGGAGTAAAAGGGTTTTGTAATTGGATGATATCAGAATTTTCCCAAGGGCCTGCCCTGAGAAAGTTCCTCCCAGGGTCCTGAGGAAGATGTTACATCTGACATGGTGTTATCTGAGGGGAAGGAATCTATATACACCATGCTCTTTCATCCGTTTACTTTATTTCTCTAAGACAAAGTTCTACCTATACAGCTTCAGTTCTGTTCTGACACTCAGTTCCTCTCTGTCCCTTCTATTTCTGTCCTCTCATTGCCTAATAGTAAGATCCTATGCTTTCAACCTTATCTTAGTCCTCTGTTCCTTTGTCCTCTGTAGTGGGTAGCCATTCCAGCTTTGATCTGGAAGTTCCAACCCCCATTGAGGCTTCGGCAACTGTCACGCCTACAAGGTGGGGCGGCGCCTGGGGACCCGAGATCTGGATGGGCGAGTGCTCTCAGTTCCTGGACCCCAGACGGAGACGTTGACTGAGCAGAGCTCCAGAGAACACCGCTGGACTGCAATACACCTTCCCCAGACCCCGCGACCTACCTATTCCTTCATTTGTAAGTTACCCACTAAATAAATCTTCCTTTTAACTACGTGGAGTGGCCTTAATAATTTCACCAATAGTCCTCCATCTTTCCTTCCTTGCTCCTTACCCCCGACTCTGAGAAACTCTACCTTTTTCTCTTCTCTCTGGCCAAGCAGCTCTGCCTGCATCAGTAATTCTGCTCCAGTCTTTACTGCACCTGGTTATGCAAGAAGCCCTATTGTCCTGAGTCAATAGCTCTGCAATGCTACTAGGCCTGAAGGCAAGGGATGGTCTGAAGTTCATTTGCACAAGAAACAAAGCTATGCATCTATAGTCTGCCTGTCTCCTAGGCCCTGCAGGGGTGTTACCTAGTGGATCAGCAGGAGGTCTCAGAAGCTTAACTGTCCTATGGCCTAGTAGTATGTGAGGACACAAGAATTTCATAGCAGAAGATAGCCAATATATAGTAAAAGCTAAATAACACCAAATATTCCTTGATAAATGGCTTCCTCTTGAAGGAATCCTTGGTCAATCAAAGTATAGCTTATTATATACAGCTGAATCTCTATAATATATTCTTGCAACCCACTGCAATTCCCCTTTTCTTGTATAGTTAAAAAAAGAATGTTTAATTCTCTCTAGGGCAAGAAATGATGTGAATAAATATTAATTTGGAGATGACTGGAAAAATGATAAGTAATGGTCAGTTAATATTGATATATGATCAATATTTGTATCAATACATATTTATAATCTATAAAATATACTTATAATCAATAATCTATATAGATGGCAAGCTGAGAATTAGTTTAATCATCTAATAGGTATATTTGTATATAATTAGACTATCTCTGTCCCAAGAAGGGGAGCAGAGGAATAACATAAAAATCTATCATTGGCTAGTATGTCATAATATGGTCAAATGTGTCTAAATACTATGATTCTGACTTATCAAAAAGAAATGGTTAGTTTGGAACATTGACTCTATTAATCTCTAGTAGTGATAAATTTGGTTAAACTGTATTTTAAAGAGGCATTCTTAGATAAAATTACCTGAATTAGTCATGAGCATCTGTGAGACCAAAGCTGCAGTTGAAGCTTACCTAATTTAAATTTGTAATCAATGTAATATTAAACCATTAGCTGTGAGAGGACAGTAATAACCTGTGTCAGGGTGTACATAGCAAGACTTACTTATAGAACAATTGTGAAAAGTACATGAGGGGAATATCTGGTAGTATATACATTTCAGGATCATGGGTAGAATTATACAATAGAAAATTTTAAGGGCAGCTTAGCCCCTGGGCTTGAGAGTACTGTTCAGAAAGAAGGGTAAGTGACAAAGGAGTTGTAGAAATCATCCATGGTTAATTCCTGCTGATATGGGGGCAAAGCTGAGGGTCTTGAAGGCTGGAATTCAGTGGAAACCCAGCAAAAACAGACTGTTTTAGGCTTTGTGAGATGTGTAGCAGGATTTCCTGTCTTGTAGGCTGGAGGGCAGGGTGCAGGGTTGAGCTGGACTGCACATCCGTGTGGGCTGGAGGATGAGATGCAGACCTGCAGCTGGACAGCGTGTCTGTGATCCAGAGAATGACAGCCTGTAACTCTTTAAATTAGAATTTCTGCTGGGAACAAATATATATATTAATGGTAGAACATGCAGCAGAAGAGTTTTAAAGATGAAGAGTTTTAAAGAGAAAACATTTTCTCTTAGGTGTACCTATGGAATATTAAATGCATGGTTTTAGCAGATGAGAGAAAGGGATACCAGGCCAGGGAGAAGGAAAGCTTCCCCTTCCTCCAGAGAAAAAGGAAAATTTGTAAGTGGGAAACATAAATTGTAGTCATGTTACATTCCTCCTGGTCCTTCTTGGCTTGTGAGTGTTGGTGAATTTTGATCTCCTAAATCTTATAAGAACCTTGTTAAAAGACAAAATCTTTAGACATATTAGCAATATGATAACAGTGGTGAATTTTGTCAGAGCAAAATTATGAATCCTTGGAGTCTTAACAAAACAGCAGGATAGCTAGAGAATAAAGTCTGAAATGTTTCATATATATATATATATATATATATATTATATATATAATATATATCAAATCTTGTTTATCATTTTATCAAAATTAATAAAATACATTTAGAACAGAATTATTATTTTTAATCATATTTCTACAGGTTTTGATATCATTGATGAACTCTGTTCATCAATAGGACCTGGAATTATATCAATTTATTTATAAATTCAAAGCCCAATAATTATCTATGAGTGATTAGCAGCCTGTAATCAGGCTGGCAACTTTAGAGCACCTCTATCCTGCAGTAGCCTGGTCATATGGTGTGATCAGGTGACCCAGGATCCATAAAGGCAAGTCAGTGTCCTGTAAAAACATGTAAGCATATCCTCTTCCTGACATGAAAATATCAGGACCTTTTCAAATACCAGTGAGAAGGTCCTAGAGGCTTAGGTGTAACTCTGTGGCTTGGCCTGGGGGTAATAAGGAATGCCTGTAGTGGGAGATGTGAGAAGTTAAGCACCAGTTCTTAAGAGCTCTTGAAGTATATGTAAGGCCTTTGTCCAATTATGAGCTCTAAGCATTCCTAAAATTGAAAAGCAGTGGAATAAATGGTTTATTACTTCTTATTTTATAGCCATAAATCATAAGAACATAGGCCTCGTGGGTGAACTTCCATAGGGAGAGAATTTGTAATTGTTGGACAGACATGAGAAAGTGTCAGTATATCCTGTAGACCTATCTGCCAATCTATAGACTCACAAGTTTTATATAGTTTGATATAAATATAATAGCTGTGCAATAAATGTATTGAAACATATGTACATATATACATACATACATGTACATATATATTATTGGATTGGGGGACTTTGAGGGGACTATAATTGACAGTTCTGATAGTTAATCTGTACATATGATGAGGAACCCTGCCCAATAAAATGAGTACTGGATAAGCAGAGCATGCAACTCCTACTCTGTATGTCTGCTTTGGCCTCAATTGTGGCAGGGTTAGAAGGCAAGCTAAAGGCAAAATGCTGACAATCTTTAGGGTGAGGAGGTATGGTAAAGAAGCAATCTTATAAATCTATGACAATTATATTCTGATTTCTAAGGATGGCCATGAGAGATGGCAAGTCAGAGTGTGAAATTCCCCTTGGCGTCAATAAATTTTATTTAATTTTTAAAGGTCTTGTAACTGTCTATTAGCCTGATTTTTTTCTAAATAACAAATATTGAGGTGGTTCAAGTGCTGGTGAGAGGCTTTATATGTCCCATACATAAGTTTTTTCCCCACCAGACAGGTAGCAGCTACAATTCTCTCAGCATTGAAAGGTCATTGTTTAACTCAGATAGGAGCATCAGATCTCTAAGTAATGGGGTCAGCAGTGGACAATGGCCCCCAGGATAAATTTTGATACCCTAGGCCATGTCTTTCATTTATAATTTCTGAAATAATAGGCTTAGTTATGGCTTGGATTTGTTTACCCAAGTTCTTTTAAATTTAAAACCCATCTATAGCATTTTAGCTGATATTAGTCCATAACAGAGATTAAAGATACATCCATTTGTTACAGCATGTCTCTTCCTCATAGTATGTTAGGTATGGAGGATGACATATGGGCAGAATATGCCATAATTTTCTCCATCTAACCATCTTAATATTCCTGAGCTTCTGGCTACATTGTTAGTTTGACCTAGGCCTATAAGAGACAAAGGAGAAAGGAATGATGTTTATCTAGAGAGGGGTTTTGAGTGTCCCATACCCAATGATCCACCTGGGAAGCTGGTAAGGGAAAGGGTGTGCCAGATTGTGTGAGTTTGGAGGAGAAGGAGGAGGGGGATGTCTGGTGAACCTGGGGTCAAACAGATGGGAGAGCAAAAGACATAGAGACTCCTACTTTAGCTAGGAAGTCCCTTACCAGCAAGGGGATGGGACAGGGTGGCATCACTAGGAAGGAGTGGGTAAGGGTAATACCCCTCAAAATACAGCTAAGTGGTATGGTTTGGTGAAGCTGGTAAAGCTATCCCCTTACTTCAACAACAGAGGAATGAGAAGGAGAGGCAGGACCCTAAAACTCCATCAGGACTGAAAAAGTGGCCCTGGTATCCAGAAGGAAGGAGATGAATAGCCCTGATACTGTGATGACTACCTGAGGCTCCCCCTGTCAGAGACTGTGGTGGTTCGGTCAAGGGCCTCCTGGCCTCCTCAGTCATCCATGGCCAGACCTATGAGGTCGGCTGGTGGGTGATCTAGGCTTAATATCCTCATGCCACAAAGGACATGAGGACAGTCAGGTACCCAATGTTTTGGGTTTTTTTGTTTGTTTGTTCGTTTTGTTTTGATGGCACTGTGGGCATAGGTGGAATAGTTTGTGAGGATTTGGAGAGGCCCAGGCACAATTACTCTCCTGACAGACCCAGAGGATCTCAGGCTTTGGGAGCCTGGGCAACTGCTATGGCTGGCTGAAAGGCCTTAGCCAGATGATGGGGACCCCATAATGATGATTCCACATGGATTATGATAATGCTGCTAAGCTGACAAACACCACCCAATGATTGGCTTTGGACTACAAACTGCTCAGGACAATTTCAAGGTGGCTAGCTGAGATGATCCAACCTCACAGACTACTCTAGCCAGGACTTGAGACAAGCCCTGTACTTTCCCATTATGCAGAGACTGGACAACAAATGATACAGCTACCTCTCCCAGGACTTGACAATTACCCCAATTTTTTTCTTTTCAATATCCCCTAAAGATACCATCACCCCCAGGGAGTAAATTTAAGAACATGATGCCCACATTCCCAAGAGGTAGGGTGGGTGGTTTTTGGTCATTCAATGGGTTATAGATATTTGTCATTGTTTAGGGTGGTTGGTTACAAGTTATTATTGGTAATGGTCAGGAAAAAAGCTGAACAAAGGAGATTAGATTCAGGATCTCAATCTAAAAAGAAAAAAAGGGGGTATATAGAAATGATAGGATAAAAGTGTAGATTATTGAATCTACTCTGAAAAGAAAAAAGGGGATATAAATATGATAGGATAAAAAGGTAGATTATTGAATCTACTTCTAAACCAAAAAAGCAACTACTAGTTTTAAATATTTTACATTGATATGGATTTTTGTATACTGAAAAAAGTTGAGATTATTTTTGTTAGAACATACTCGACATACATTTCTAATTATGTTCAAGGTATAGCTCATTTAACAATGTAATACAAATTTCTAGTCCTTGAAAGTTATTATTACCAACTATTTAGGATAATAAGGAATGTAGGTTAGTAGTCACCTATTACAATCAAACTTGTAGTCATATTAGGTATGTTTTCAAGGTCAAACAGAGATATATTTTAGACAGGTCATCTTGAAACACTTCAGAGATCTGCAGAATATAGCATTTAAGATGTTTTAAAAACATAGGTTCTTTTATATGACAATGAAACATGTTTGCTCTTGGCAGCACCAATCTACTTCAGATGGACATTGAAGAAACCCCACATGGAATTTACTTTCTTTGTGGCAAAAGTAAGCCACTGAGCAAGAAAATGCCCTTGCCTTGACTGCTGACAAAATGCTGTCCAAATTGGACAAGCAGGATACAAAAGAAAGTGAAAACTGAACTTTGCCAAGACAAGGTATGACAGCCCTTCAGAAAATTCTGCTTCACAGAAAAGTCTAACCAATATGCTAGGACTGTAGTCTGAAGATGGATGCCCCAATATTGCAAAGGAATCTTGGATGACTGTCCAGGCAGCCAGCTGTTTCTGTCATTTCTCACAGTTTTTGGAAGTTGCTTGCTTGCACTTCCTGCTTATTCAGGTAATATTTCCTTCTTGAGTCTCTGATAGAGTTGAAGACTTTATAGTTATAGTTTTAGTTTTCCTTGTTACCAGATTCAGAAAAGAAATCCACTAAAGAGGTATAAAGTGTATAGCGTTGAGAGACATTAAAAGAGAGTTTTGATAATGCAAGTTAGAATAGAATGTGAATTAGTTAAAACCCTTTGGACTCACCAAGATAGGATAGATAGTGGAATATTTTCTCTGAATTTGTTAAATGTTAATGGACTGGGCATTGTTAATATAATTATTGCTTGTATATATTATATATAGTTATTGTATTTATTGTATATAGTTTCTCTTATATTAGTTATAACCTTCTTTTCTATTTTAGACAAAAAGGGAATATGTGGTGATATTTTGTTTGTCCTTTAACAAATAAAGCTTGCCTGGAGATCAGAGTGCAGAGCTAGCCACTAGATGCCAGGCAGTGGTGGCACACACCTTTAATCCCAGCACTTGAAAGGAGGAAACGGAAAGTGATATGGCTGGGTGGAGAGGGGAAGTGATAAGGCAGGGTGCAGACAGGAGCTCAGCCTTTTCAATCTGAGGATTCCTAGAGGGAAGAAGTCTTACTAGCGGCTGCTCTGGTCCTCTGATCTTTCTTCCTTCACTCTGATATCTGACTCTGGGTTTTTATTAATAATACCAATCAGAATTTGTGCTACAAGCCATCCTCCAGATCCCCATGCCTCAGACCAAAAAACAACTATGCAAATTTCTGGGGGTAGCAGGTTAATGCTGTCTTTGGATCCTTGGTCTTGCCAAGATAGCAAGGCTTTCTATGTGACTACTACAGCAGAGAAACCATGAAAATGGACTGAGATAGAAAACCAAGCCTTTCAGGACTTGAGAATGCCCTAATACAATACCCAGTTCAGGCCTTACCTGATGTCACAAAACTGCTCCATCCTCCTTTTCATTCATGAGTTCTGAGGGATTACCAAAGGTATGCTTACCCAGACCTTTGGATCGTATCAGAGGCCTGAAGAATACCTATCCAAATGCTTGGCTTCTGGGTGGTCACCCTGACTGTGTCATAGCTGCTACCAGCCCTGTTGGTAAAGGAGGCTGACAGGCTCACCTTAGACCAGGACTTACCCCTTATGGAGATCCTGTTCCAGGGATCAAATGCCTGATGGATGTCAAATGGCCACATTTCCCAATACTAGAGCCTGTTTCTCCATCAGCTCCATGTTCAGAGCCTCAGCCCAGCAACAGTGATGCCAGACAGTGACCTGAAAGTACTCTTTGTTTGTTTGTTTGTTTTTATTTTTTTCGAGACAGGGTTTCTCTGTGTAGTTTTGGACCTGTCCTGGATCTCGCTCTGTAGACCAGGCTGGCCTCAAACTCACAGAGATCCACCTGGCTCTGCCTCCCGAGTGCTGGGATTAAAGGCGTGCAGCACCACTGCCCAGCCTGAAAGTACTCTTAAAGAATTGAGAGGATCCATTGGACATCTTCCTCAGATTAGCTTCCCAGACTTCCACCTCCACCCAAACATCCCCTTGCCTGAGGCAGACATTGGCTTGTTTACATGTGGAAGCAGCCTCATAATGAATAGGGTTCAAGGGGCAAGAGCTTCTGTGACCACCAGAAAGGATATCATTTTGGCCCAGGGCCTGCCTCTGGGCACCTTCACACAAAAGGCTGAGCTGATTGTTCTTGCCTGGGCTTTGCTTGGGAAAGGGTAATTGGGTAAACATCTTCAAAGACAGCAGGTATTCCTTCACCAGTCTTCATGCCAATGCCACAATCTATAGGGTAAGGGGGCTCCTAGTTGTGGAAGAAAAACCATCAAAAACAAAAAGGAAAGTCTAGCTCTCCTCGAGGCTATCTGGCTCCCCAAGGAAATAACAGTCATACACTGCAGGGATCATCAAAAGGCTGACATTGACAGACCAAGGGGCCCTAGCAGGCTGCCGAACTCTGCATTGAGCTGTGCACTGTTCTGCCCATAACCTTTTCTGACCTAGTGTTCCCCCTCAGCCAACATACACAGAGAGAGAAGACAGTGCTCATTCCTAGGGAACACAAAAGAACCCTGTGCAATGGTGGACCCTGCTGGACTACAGGATCATTCTTCCCACAGCCCTCAGACATCTCCTTGTGGACCAACTACACCAGAGGACCCACCTAGGTGCCACCAAACTGACTGGGTCACTATCTTTTAAATAACAGATCTGCCAGGTTCAAAAACTAACCACCTAGCCAGTCTTTCTCTGCCTCTCATACAGTCAGGTCAACCCTAAACAAGGATTCAAAGGTACTGGTATGCAGGCCATTCTCTGTTACGAGATATTTGATTACACTGTGAAAAGATATGTCACTGTGACATTGGTTTAGTAAAAAGCTAAATAGCTAATAGATAGGCAGGAGGTCTAGGTGGGACTTCTTGACAGAAAGAGCTCTGGGAAGAAGAGTCACCAGCTGGACACAGAGGGAACCAGACATGCAGGAGGAGAGGTAAAAGCCAGGAGCCATGTGGCAGCATAAAGATTAATAAAAATGGATTAACTTGTTATAAGAGCTATTTAGAAAGAAACCTAAGCTATACGCTGAACTTTCATAATTAATAATAGGTCTCCATGTCATTTTTTTTTTAAAGCTGAAATCCCAAAGAAAATCTGTCTACAAATGGTACCCCAAATGGGGCTACATATATCCACATAAGGACTGAGAAAAGTTGTTTTTTGAAGTTCAGAACATGGAGTCAAGCATGGTTTCCTAGTGACCACAGTCTTCTGGGTAGGCTCAGTGATGTTCAGGGATATGGCTACTGGCCATTGCCTGTGGACTGGAGCCAGCTGGCAGCAGCATGTGCCAGCACCATGAGCTAAGCTGAGCTGCATGGCACTTGACTTGTCTCATGTATGGGAGGCCAGCTGGGAGACCAGCTCCCACATTCTATCCCAGGGTACTCTTGAGGAGTGAGGGATAAGAGATTTAGATAGAAGGATAGAGGGGAGAAAAACAGAAATACAGGATCGGCTCAAGATGGCCTGGATCCTCTCCACTGGTCCCTCCTGTTTCTTCTAAAGGGCTATTTATAGGAATGCCAAGGGGTGGAGCAAAAGACCTCTCCCTAGCTCAGCCAAATGTAGACCCTTCCAACCACCTAGAAACCATGCACATGGTCAAGCAATCATCTAATGCAGTTCTGCTGGGTAACGCAAGCTCAGATCTCACTAGAAAATATTTGTGGGCCTCCACACTCATGCAATCAGAGAGCATTGTTGATGCTCAATAAAGACAGATTCAGATGGAAAAAAAAACCTCTAAACAAATTACAGTGTGTTTTAAAAATGTATGTAGGCTTAAAAAAAGAAAAGAAAATGGGTATAGACAGTCATGAAAAAATAAATAGTTTATAAATAATAAGATAGTCTTTAAAGAAAGAATAAAATATTATAAAAAGGATAAGACCTGTAAAGATGGAAAACATACAGAGAGTCTGGATCCTATATGGTGTCTTGTTGACTTTAAATTTTTTGATTGGTGATGTGTGAACAATAGCTGCTGAGAGACATTGGATTATGGAAACTGCTAAATTAAACCAACCTATATATTTTAAAATGCCTTAATTTCAAAATGGAAGTCAAAAAATATGTTGAGTTGGGGAAGAGGTTATGCTTTTGTTTCACAGAAAACAAAAGGCTGTTTGTAGGCATATTTTTCTTTGGGCTGCCAGCTCTCTCACAGACACACACACACACACACACACACACACACACACACACACACACACACACACACACAGAGAGAGAGAGAGAGAGAGAGAGAGAGAGAGAGAGAGAGAGAGAGAGACTTTAAAGGGGAATTATAGTGAAATAATTTTTTTGTGCACTGTGAAGATGTATCAACCTGATCAGTTTAATAAAGAGCTGAACATCCAATAGCTAGGGAGGATTTCCAGGCACAGAGGATGCTGGGAAGAAGGGTAGAGATTCCAGGAGATGCAGAACAAGCAGGATGGGTGGTATAGAGATGAGGTCATAAAGCCACAAGGCAGAAAGTAAATTAATAGAAATGGGTTACTTTAAGTTATAAGAGCTAGTTAAAAGCAAGTCTAAGCTATCAGTGGAGTTTTCATAATTAATAATAAGCTTCCATGTCATTATTGGGGAGCTGACAATCCTGAGAAAGAAGTCCAACAACAAATGGCACCCCACATTGGGTGCCATATGTAGGTGGAGTTTTCTTTGGGCTGCCAGCTCATAAAAATGACACAAAGACTTATTATTAATTATGAAAGCTTGTCCTATAGCTTAGGATTGTCCCATTTGCTTGTATACCCTAAGTTAACCCAATTCTATTCATCTATGTGTTGCCATGTGACTCGTGGCTTTTAATTCTCCTCCTGCATTTCTTGCTCTCCTAGTGTACACTTGCAACTCTTCTTTACTTCTTCCCAGAGCTCTTTCTATCTGGAAGTCCTTCCTAGACCTCCTGACTAGCTATTGGCCATTTAGCTTCTTATTAAACAGATCACAGTGACACATCTTTACACAGTGTAAAGTAATACTCCACAGCAGCTGTGGATTAATTCAAGGTTGATAAAGATCAGATTTGATCAGGGGAGACCCCTGAAAATCCTGGCTACAGATATAAAGAAATAAACCTAAGAAAACTACAAGACAGGTGGCTATATTTTACCTGCTTAAACATAAAACAAAACAAAAAAAAAATCATCTTTGAATGGCTTGTGTACAATGCACAACCCATACTTGTGTTAATACTGATGTGTATGTTACCTTTGAAAGTTTGTGTGTTTCCAGAGCAAGGGGACCAAACACCAATGAAAATGGGTGGCCCAAGTGATCCAGCCTCTCAGAGTTCCTCTGGTGCAGTTTCCTCAGAACTCTGTATCCAGAAAAATTTCAAAGATGCCAGCTAAGATGGCCCAGCCTCACAAACTATTCTAGCCAAGACTTCAGATGAGCGCTGCACTTTCCCATTACATAGAGACTGGACAACAAATGATACAGCTAGCTCTCCCAGAACTTGACCATTATCCCAATTTTTTCAGGGTCCCCTAAAAATGCCATCACCCCCAGACAATGGGAAGCAGTCTAGAGAATAGGACATCCACATTTCCGAGAGGTGGGGTCGATGGTTTTTGGTCATTCAGTGGGTTATGGATGTTTGTCATTATTTAGGGAAGTTGGTTACAAGTTGTTATTGGTCATGATCAGGAAAGACTCTGAACAAAGGAAATTAGATGCAAGTATCGCTTTCTGAAGGAAAAATGGAGAATATAGTATAGAAATGACGTGATAAAAGGTTAGATTGTTTAGTCTACTTTTTAACAACCTAGCCTCAAATATTTTACATTGATATGGATTTTTGTATATTCATACAAATTTAAGGTTACTTTTGTTATACTGTATTATATGTTTCTGTGTCTTGTTTAAGGTATTGTAAAAATTTAATTTAAAAATGTAAAGTTCTAGTCCTGGAAAAACTATTTAGAATAATAAAGATATACAGGTTAGTAGTTAGTCATCTATAACAATCAAAATTATTGTCATGTTAGATATATTTTCAAGGTCAACTAGAAATGTATTTTAAATAGCTAGATGGTCTTCAAACGCTTCAGAGACCTACAGAATATAGAATTTAAAATGTTTTAATAACATAAGGCTTTCATGACAATGAGACACATCTGCTCCTGGCTGCATCAATCTACTTCAGGGAAGATGATGATCATCGAAGATCCTCCATATGGAGTTTTCTTTCTTTGTGGCAAAAGTTAGTCACTAGGCAAGAAACTGCCCTTGCCTCGACTGTTGATAGTATGCTGTCCAAATTGGACAAGCAGGACACAAAAGAAAGTGAATGTTAAACTTTGCCAAGACAAGGCAGGACAGGCCTTCAAAATTTCTGCTTCACAGAAAAATCTGTTAGATATTCTAGGCCTGTAGGCTGAAGATGGATGCCCCAATATTATTGAAGAACTCTGGGTGATTGTCCAGGTAGCCAGCTGTTTCTGTCATTTCTATGGTTGTGGAATTCGTTTGCTCTGTACTTCCTGTTTACTCAGGTAATATTATATCCTTCTCAGATCTCTGATGGAGTTGAAGACTAGATAGTTATAGTTACAGTTTTTCTTGTTAGTTCAGAAAAGAAACTCACAAAAGAAGTGTAAAGTATATAAGGTGGGAAAACATAAAATCTTAAGTTGTTTATCTAAAAAGATATTTTAAGATGGTAATACAAGTTCTGACAAAAATGATTTAAGTATAAAACTTCGGGGTAAGATAGGATAGATAATGGAATATTTTCTCTGAATTTACCTAAAGTAAATGGACTGGACATTATATTCTTACCTGATAATTGTTCTTATTGTATATAGTTTTTTACTATGTTAGAGTTAAAACTTTTCCCTTTCTATTTAGACAAAAAGGGTGAAATGTTGTGAGATATCTGATTACACTGTGTAAAGATGTGTAGATGTAAATCTGAACGGTCTTATTAAATAAGAAACACAGAGCCAAATGCAGAGTTAAAAGCCCAGAGATCGAGCAGCAGCCAAGAGCTAAGACTGCCTTCTTACCCCCTCACTGTCACTGCCGTCCTTCCCCTGAGAAAGAGACCTACTTCTTGTGCATCTGTATTTTTATTGACTTTATGTTCTGCCTTCTCATTGGTTGTAAACCCAACCATATGACCTCGTCACTGCCTGTCTATACAGACCTCCAGGTCTCTATGGTTGGTATTGAGATTAAAGGCGTGTGTCTCCAAGCTGGCTATGTCCTTGAACACACAGACTCTTCCTGCCATGTGATCAGATTAAGGGCATGTGCTACCACAGCCAGACTTCTGCTAAATGGCTTGCTACTAGCTCTGACCCCCAGGCAACTTTATTTATTAATATACAAATAAAATCACATTTCAGCACAAATAAAATGTCACCATAAAGATGTATCACTGTGATTAGTTTAATAAAAAGCTAAATGGTCCATAGATAGACATAAAAGATTGTAACACATCTTTGCATCATCAAACAAATATTTCACAAGCACAAACAAATGTAACACATCTTGAACTAATATTCCACAACACCTACAGGAAATAATTCCCAGGTTCCGGTTGTCTATCAATCAGCTCAGATAAATGATTTTCTTTCACATCATCTATAGCCCAACTGTTCAGCAAAGCAGCCCAACCACCTACCCCTGGTCTGCCGTCCAGTTAGCTGGATTTCCTATAAGGTAGGACTCACCTCCTGTGAAATTATTTTTGGGAGGCCACTTCCTGTGCTACCTAGATTAAAGGACTCTATTTTAGAAGAAATTGCCAGTAAGTCTTGTAACAGGTCTTTCTTTGGACTGCCAGCTCCCAAATAATGACACAAGATTTATTAATTATGGAAGTTTTACCTTATCTTAGGCTTATTCCCAACCAGCTCTTAAAACTTAAATTAACCCTTTTATATTAATCTATGTTCTGCCACATGGCTTGTTACCTCTCCTTCATACTGTTATATCCAACTTCCTCTTTGTCTCACTGGTGAATCCCCATGCCTCACATTCTTCCCAGAGTTTGTATCTCTGTTTAGAAATCCCGCCTATCCTCTCCTGCCTAGCTATTGGCCATTCAGCTCTTTATTAAACTAAGGTGCCTTAGGCAGGTGAGGTCAAACAGAGACATCTTCACAGAGTATGATCAAATATCCCACAACAAAGTCTCTTTATAGTGTCTGCAGCCTCCAACAGGTTTAAGGTGTGGTTCATTTTAACATCCAAGACAACCTCCTAATTCCCTCCTCAAGTCCTTGCTGGAGATCTGGTATATATCAAAAATTCCAAAAAGAAGGCTTAACCCCTACATGAAGGGGACTTTACATCTCACCATACCAACCATCATCAAGGTAGATGGAATTCTAGCCTGGATCCATCATTCCTGAGTCAAGCTAGCCCCAGACCAAAATCAAGAATGGACCACCACTCCCCAACAAGACACTGTCAAGCAAGACTCCCAATCATAAGACTCTTGAAACTTGACCATGTCATGTCCTTTGTTCTGACTCATCTCTTTCACCATTGGGTAGGTCTTTACTGAACCTATCTCCAAGAACACAGTCTTATTCAAGGCCAGCCTCAAGTTTCTGCCTCTGAAGTGTAACAGGAAATACTAGATGAGCACTGAAAATTAGGAAAGGCAGATTTTTATCTATGTCCAGGCCAACCTACTGACATCAGGTGTGAAGACTCAGTTGAATTCTGCCCTACTGGCCTGTGTCACTATAGCCATATAACTGGTGGTGTTGGGGGGGGGGGACCAAATGATAATAGCCTCCTCCCAGTTTGGAAGCTGCATTTGTTGCTATGAAGACAGCCTATAAAGTTCTCCTCAAAGGCAAAACCTGTGATTCAGTTAATCCTCCCCTTGGTGTTCATGTCTCTGTGGGAAAACTGCAGGGCAATCTGATAGCCAGAAGGAAACTGCCTTTAGGTGAGCTTTTGGGAGAAATATGTCTTGAGGTAGCTCTGAGCCCTTATGACCAAGCTCTAGATAAGGCCCGATGCTCCCAGCAATCCTGCCCTGCCTTTTAAACATACCAAAGTATAAAATAAAGTTGGTTTCCTTTGTCTATATAAGGAACTCAGAGAGTGCATGTGAGTCCCTGCCCAAGAGGTCATTGCTCTTCTCCTCCAGGATCTCCAAGTTTTAGCATTTGCTGCACTGGATGTGGCATCTATCAAGATGAGGCAGTTATGTCATTGTCTTAGTGTTTCTATTGCTGTGACAAAACACCATGACCCAAAAGCAGCTTGGGGAGGAAAGGATTTATTTGATTTATACTTTCATATTACTGTTCATATTGAAGGAAGTCAGGACAGGAACTCGAGCAGGGCAGGAACCTGGAGGCAGGAGCTGATGCAGAGGCCATGGAGGGGTGCTGCTTCCTGGCTAGCTCTGCATGGCTTGCTCAGCTTGCTTTCTTATAGAACCCAGGACCACCAGCCCAGGGACGGCACCACCCACTATGGGCTGGACCCTCCCCCATGGATCACTAATTGAGAAAATGCCCTACAGCTGGATCTCATGGAGGCATTTCCTCAACTGACTCTAGTCTATGTCAAGTTCACACAAAACTATCCAGCATAGTTATCTTCATTTGGATACAACAGGTCCTTAACTATTTCAGGGGAGTTGTGTCCACCTGGAACCTCTGATTGTACATTACAGAATATAATGAAGGAGCTTTGCTCACCCATTAACCAATGGTTGCCTCCAGGGCCAATTGTCTCTATAGCCAATGTAGGAGACCCACTTTTTGCCTCTCCCACAGCACCCGACTTCATCCCTCTCTTTACCTCTACCCCATTCTGAATAAATCAAATACAGTTCCCCACAATCTCTGAGTCTTGTTTCCCATGTCAGAAGAAATACACCAGCTGCTTAATCCTTCTCAGCCCAGATTTGCTGGAGATTGCTGGCTGTGAATTCCAAACTGCCTCACTATGCAGGGCTAGAGATCAAAATACCAATTGTTACAAATGACAGCAAGTCCACCTGTCCTGTCTCTGCCCTGCAGTTAACCTTAGGAAGATATAATAGTTTTTCATGCTTTATAACATGACTCTAATTTCCAAAAATCTCCCTTCTCAGAATCCTGCAGTATACTTTCACCCTCAGCCTGTCTGATTCAAAAGCCTACTTGGCACTGCAAGGATCCTGGTTAGCCTGTACTCTGTACTTACAATAATGCTTGGCCTCTGACAGACTACAGGAGTCTAACCTTGTGTGTTACTATCCATGTTTTCTCAAGGTATATGCTTACAATGGCCCAAGGGGGCTCAGAGCACATTCCCTCCTGGCTTCCAGCTCCACCATATGCTGGAGGCTCTCTCCTCAGAAGACTTAGCCCAGATCAAACAGCAGCCCTAATGATTATCTCAAGAAGTGAGGTTGGAATATCCCAGATGACCCACAAATCCTACTGACTTCCCTTGAAATGCTTCTCAATCAGGTTGAAATCTTTGGCTGAGACAGTTCTACAGAATTGGGGGGAGGAGCTAGATGTACTGTTCATGCTTTGGTGAGATCTATGTGTATCCTTAGGAAAAGCTAGCGGTTTCTATGCAAATATATCAGTCCTTATTAAAAACACCTTACAAAATGGTCTAAGAAAATCTAAGTAAACACCAAAAGAAAAGAGGCCAACAGTTCCTGGTTTGGTTGGAATCCACGGCTGACTACCTTAAATACGGGTCTCAAAGTCTCCTTGTTCTTCTCCTCCTAGGACTGGCAATTGGGCTTTGTTTAATCAACTGGTTCTTAAACTTCATCAAACAACGAATAGCCTTTGTCAGATTAACACTCATAAGGGCCCAGCACAACTCCATGCCACTGGAAGATAACAAGTCAGCGCTTTGACTCTCCTAAAACCAGTGGAGAATAAACTAACCAAGGAAATCCCATTTTGTGTGCCTCACACAACCACCCACCCCAGCCTGGCTAACCACATCTTGCTTAGAAAACATTCTAGTCTCGCCATACCTGTAGTTTCAGGAAGACCATAGTTCTAATCAACTAGAGCATTTGGAATCTTTTAACAGGAACTGTAGAAACTTCAGCCACTCAGCCTTGGTCTAATGCAATTGTAGTTCGGGCTTTATAAGCCCCATCCCGCCTCTCTCTGGGGTTGAAGGGTCTCTTTGGTATGAGCATGCTCTCAACTGCCTACAAATAAAAGACTCTTAATCAATTGTTGAATGGCATTCTTCTGTGTCTCTTTTGGGCAGGACAGACTGGATGGAGCTCCTGGTGAAGAAGCATCCTCTTGGTCTTTGGGAGGAGAAGGCAACGTGAGTGCATGACCTCTGGGCTAGAGAAGATATACCCTGGTATAAAGGCGGTCCAGGTCCATACACACATACACACACACACACACACACACACACACACACACACGATCACAGTTAACGCTGACAGGATACCACTGTACCAAAACAGGGGCCTGAGTACAGATCATTGGAATCTCCTCAAAATAGGTCACACTCTCACAGCATAAGGCAACACAAGACAAGTCAGCTGAAAATCCCAGCCTGCGCACTTACCAGAGCCCCTCCCGAGTAGATATGCCACCTCTATCTTGTCATGGGTCAGGACCACAACTGAAAATAGAAGGATGAAGACTCTCAAGAGATACCCTTATTGGTTGTTGAAAATTTTATTAACAAAACCCATTTGTTTACGGGGAGGGTACAGGCAAGGGTGAGTAAACTCCACGGTCTCACCCCAGCACTGAATATGGAGAGGGACAGTGACAACGGGAAGTCAGAGGCCCTTTAATAAGGGCAAAAGGAAGCCAAAAAGTAGATGGGCAGAGGGATAAAACTAAGGAGCGGTGGAAGAAACGGATGAATGGAGGAACAGAAAGCGGGCGACGCAGGGCCACTCCCCTAACTGGAATGCAGGGCTGAGGGGCTCTGGGCTGGTGGAGCTCAGCGGTCGGCACTAGATCGCAAGTCGGTAGTGAGTGGGTCGTGCTGGATGGTCTGGTGCAGCATCAGGGCAAGTAAGCCTGCTCGGTTGGTCATGGCTGTGCGAACATTTCGTTCCTGCTCAAACAGCTCGTCCAGCTTGTACCACTGCCAAGGAAGTGGAAGGATGCGTGAGAAGCGGCCCCGGAGCCCAGGCTGCCTGGTCACACCCGGTGTTAAAACCTACCACCCGAACACGCTCCAAGTCCACTTCTGCACGCCGAAGCTTCTCCCAGCAATAATGGCGATTGCACTGGCGCTTGGGCAGGCGGCAGAAGTCACCTGTGAGCTCAAAGACATCCCGTACAAGTGGACACCCGCAGACCTCATCAGCTGGCACCTGCAGAGACACCGAGGGCAGAGGCGATGAGCTAAGAGGAGGAACGGAGAATTGAAGGAGTGTGAATAGGAGGAGACAAAAGGGGAGAAACTGGAGATGATTAACAGGGAAGAGAGGAAGTGGGAGTTGATGGGAAGAAAGAAGGGAGGGAGAGAGAAAGGAACACATGGATGGATGTGAGACATGAGGCGGGGCGGGGCAGGATGCAGGGAACTGAAGGAAAGCCTTACTTTGGGGTCCCGTGAGTGCTCAGGACATAGCACCTGGAGCCGCTTACAGTACGTTTTGCTCTGGGGATTGTAGACATCGCAGAAGAGTCGGGTAGCCCTGGTAGAAGTTAGCAGGAGAGCAGCCTTGAGTAGCTCCTTGGCCACTTCAGAGGCCCATACCCACATACCCATTTCCAGCCCCAATTCCACACATAACCCCAGTTCTAACCCCAGCCTTCACTACCCTTCTCTTAACTCCACGTGGCACCCTTACTCACCCTTCAATGCGTGTGGGGTACATGGACCCAAAGGATGTCTGGCTCTCATACTGGAAGGATGAGCACAAACAAAAGGACTTTGGGTGCCCTCTCAAGATACCACACAACAAACCTGTGGGCCCTGTGGGCCCACTGACATCCCCACCCTCTCCCCTCCCTTAGAACGGCCCCTGACCTTGGCATAGCAACGCTCCATGTGGCGCAAGGCAACGCGTGGGTTGATGGGATGCCCACAGGAGACGCAGAAGATCTGCAGATCTGTATCATCACTGTCGTTCTCATTGTTCTGTAGAGGGTGAAAAGAAAGATGAGGCCAGGCAGGACAAGGGACGGGCTCCTGCCTGGCCATACTGTTTCTTTACCTCCTCGTCCTCACGCACAGCCTGCTGCTTAGCTCGAAGAATGATGGCCTCGAGCTCGTGGAATCTGCGCTCCATTTCTTGGAGACGGGTGCGGGCACTCTGCTGCTCACGGCGGATGCGTTCTAGTAGCTTCTTGCCGTGCTCTTCGGCAATGCAGGGGCTTTGCTGCCACTGCTGGATGCGCTGGGGGAGGATCTCATAGATTCGGCTGCCGGGGGACAGTGAAGCGCAGGCAGAGAAACACCGAAAGCAGTGAGTGGGGTGATCAAGGGACAGTGAAGGGACAGACGTGACTGACGGGGAGGGGGAGGGGCAGACGGTGACCGAACAGTGGGTTCGTGTGGCCAGGTGGGGGTTTGACTGACAGTACACAGACAACTAACTGTAGATGTCTGGAGGGGAAGCTCTGGCCATGCCTACTCTTTACTTTCTGACTCCCTTCGGTGCCCCAGGAAAGACTCACTTGGCTGCCAGCTTCATGCCACAGTCATCGGAACAGTACTTGGAAGCAGGCTGGGCGGCCCGCACACAGCCAGGCCCCAGGCACTGCGGCAGGGATGCAGGGTCCTTGGTGTCAGCCCTCTCTGGGTGTTTCCATTTGTCTTTGTGTTTCTGCTTCTGTCGATGCCGTTTGTACCGCTCCTCCTTCTATGGGGCAAGACATGTCGTGTCAAGTTGCAACAGAGGTCAGCCTCGGACCTTCTCTGCCTCTGCACGCCAGCTTTCCGGCCCTTTCCCCATCGGGCCCTTGCCTTCTCCCTCCCTGCCCCATCCTCTCCCTGTAACGCCCGTTTTACCCTCTCCATCACCTTCTTCTCAGACTTCTTCTCTCGACGCTTCACATGCTTCACTTTTACCGCCCGTTTCCTCAGGGCCGGATCCAGGAACGGGGACTCTTCGGCGTCACTCATCCAGGGCTGCAAGCAGGGCATGCGCTGACCACCTGACCGACTCACGACACCACCACCTACCTCCTCATTTCCCAAAGCAGCCTTGTGTGCCCTCTGCCTCCTCTTTCCCGTCCTGTAACTTCGCCCTCTCCCCTTGCTCCCCGACCACAGGATGCCCCTGCTACTCACTAGGCCGTGATCATCAAAGGCCCCAGCACAGAAGTCCTGGTACAGATCAGGGTCCAGTGCTAGGTCCTCATCGGAAAGTGGTTCAGGCGTTGCTGTAGCCTCCGGTAGCTCCTTAGCCACGGATGACAACACTGTCCCCTCATCTTCACGGATACGCCCCAGCTTCTGAGATGGCTGTGGCTGCTGTTGAGTGGGTGGTGGCCGGCGGGGCCTTGGCAGGGCCTCTGAGGGCGTCACCGGCGAGAGCTGCGGGGCAGAATCTCAGGACTGGCCCTGACCGCCCTGCCCGCATGCCCTGCCCCGCCCTGGGGGGCTGGACTCACCGAGGAAGGGAAGTACTTGTACGATTCCTGTGCGCAGGAGGAAGGCCTAGGTCAGCCCCAGGAAAATGGGAGGGTCACCCTGTCCTAGCCCCGACTACTTACTCATCCTTGCCTGGTCTCACCAAAAGTAGTTCTATCCCTCCCCATCACCACAAAGATATGCTTGGTTCTAGCTGTTGTGCCCTGGCATGTCTGACCACGTAGAAATATACAGTCCCTGCCAGCTGGCGATGGCATGTGGCATTCACCTGAACATGCTGGGCCCCCTCCCGCTCGGCTGGACATAGTCAGGCTCCACCCCTCCCGCACTCTCTCTTTTGTAGCTCCGGCAGCCCTACTTGGGCCTCCCAGGCATGCTCTCCCACCCGATCCCGCCCAGCCCTGTCCATGCTCACCCGTGCCCGCAGTTGACACTGGCGAAGCCGGCACTTCTGCCGGATCTTGTTGGGGCCCCCGAACTTCTTCATGTCACGGCAGAAGTCACAGTGGCCACAGTCTTCCGTGCGCCGGCATGCCTCGCACTCGCCGCACATTCGGGCCGACCGTTTGATCTGTTGCTGCTGCTGCTGCTGCTGCTGCTGCTGCTGCTGCTGCTGCTGCTGCTGGTGATGCTAGGGGAGCGATGCCCAGGGGAGAGATCAGGAACCGAAAGGGGGCCCAAAGCGGAACTTCACCTTCCCCAACCACCGCAGTCACTCACCTGGCTGGGTGTAGCCACCAAAGGCTGTGGAGAAGATTTGTGGGGCGAAGCGGAGCCCCGAGCAAGCACGGTCCCAACCCCTGTCCCTGACCCTGCCCGGCGCTGCAGTTCTGGATCTGAAGCAGGCCTCTTGCGCCCTCCTCCCTCATCCCGGGGCTCACTGCCGTCCCGCTCACTGCCATCCCGCTCCCGGGACTTTTTGTGCCGATAACGAATCTCCAGCTTCGGGTCCTTCTCTGTGAGGCAAAGAGTGGGACCAAAGTGGGTTTGCAGGAAGGATCTGAATGATCCCAGAAGCTCTTTCTCTGTTCCCACCCTACCTACTTGTCTGGCTCATGCTATAGGAGAAAGTTCCCCCTTCCTTTAGGATCCTCCATTACTGCTCACATGGGGGCTGGCATTCCAATCCACCAGAGACCAACAATCACTCTGTCCACAGAGGACACCAAGATTACCCAGGATCCCTCCCCTTATGGCTCCTCTTCATCTCGCGGAGCCCACCTGCCTTCCCTGCCCATGCACAGGCCTCACCTCGGCACTCCCGACAGTACCATTCCCGGATGGCCTTGGCCATCTTCTCAGTGATCCGGATGCAGTCCCCATGGAACCACTCATTGCAGTTGTCACATCCACTGCATGTAATGGAGCAAGCGGTAGAGGCATGAGGGGTTTGCTCCATCAGCGTTCCCCAACCCTGCCAGGCGGCAGCCCACCTGCCTCTCCCTAGCTCACATCATGAAGCAATTGATGTCCGGTTTGCGGCAGATGCAGTAGATGGGAGCGTTCTCCCCATTCTCAGACTTGCTGTCCTCCCCGGCATCTGGAGGTTCCAGGTCTGAACCGTCTCCTTCCTGCGAGACCCACCGCCCCCAATGAGGACTCCTTAATTCGCCCTTACCGCTCCACCACGGCTCACCACAGATTCCTCCTGGGTCTTTGGACTTCCTTCCCCTCACAGCTTCCAGTTCGCCTCTCCATCATAGTTCCCCCAGACCCTCATCTCTCAACCCGGGGCCTCGTGACTTACACTTCTCTCCATCCCTCTGCCCCAGACCTCCCTCCCATCACACACCCCACTGACAAGCATCCTGTCACTCTAACTGCTCGTCACACGCACTCACCACCCTGTCTCCTTCAAGAGTTCTGCCCGGATACCACTTCATTTATTCTGCTGTCGTCCCATCCCGGCTTCCCACAAGTCTCCATAACTTAGCTCACAGACCCCACCCCCCACCCCACCCCCGATGACGGCTCTCCAGAGCCTGTGTAAATACTCATGGCCAAGTCCTTCCTCTCTCCCTGACCAAGGGACCTCAGGTGAAGCTTTCCTACAAAACTGCCGTCTTGGAGTCCACTCAAGTTCCACTACGGACCCCCTACAAACGGCTCAGCAAAGAACTCACAGATGGTTCCCCTCCAACCCCATCTCACACCTTTCCCCATCGGCCCCCAGCCCCGGCACCCCAGCTCGCCTGCCAACAGGCAGCCGCCGCCAACCCCACCGCCCTCTGCCTCGGAGCCCCGTTCCGAGCGGGTACTCACCATTTCTCCGCTCACAGCGCACCCGCTCCGGATCCCTGGCAGCAACCCGCGAACCTGAACCAGCCCCTCGGCGGCGGCGTCCGCGGCGGTGGCAAAGGCGCCCACAACCACTTCCGCTCCTGGTCCCGCCCCCGCGGCACCGCACTCTTACTCCGCACGCCCCGGACGAGCGCTTAGCAGCCAACAAATAGGTCGCCCACCTAGAGCCGCCAATGTCGCCCAGGCGCCGCCATCTTAACCAGCGAGTCCGTAAGGTAGCCGACACCGTACGTTCCGGGGAGCTATGGCCGCGCCTACAGGGCCGGTCCTCCCAGCGCGCCGCCACCTTGTCAGTCAAGTCCGTACGGTGGCCGCCAGAGGGCAATATGGCCGCACTTGCTTCGCGATTGCGACGCAGATGTCGTCATCTGTTTACGCCTCATCGGGAGGACTCCGTTCGTTCCTAGGCAACAAATGGTAGCTTCCGGTTCACGGCTTCCAAAGGGCGTGGCCATCTTGATTGTTGACTCCGTACACTGACTGCTGCTGCCACAGACTGGATAATCCTGTTACTGCCTAGATAACGTCTCATTCATTCCTTCGTCCAATCACTTTACCCTTCGACGTTTATCAATGAGATGCCAGAGTTCCACAGAAGAGATGAATGTGTCGTACCCGCCCAGTTGTTTATCCGCTTTTTACCCGTCTCGCCCCTCACGTTTTTCAGCCAGATCTGGCTCCGTTTTCCTTTTGTTTTGTTTTGTTTTGTTTTGTTTTGTTTTGTTTTGTTTTGTTTTGTTTTGTTTTTGAAACAAGATCTCTCCAGCCCTGGCAGTCCTTCAACTCACTAGGTAGACCAGGCTCGCATCAAACTCACAGATACCCACCTGCTTTTTTGCCTCAGGTGATGGGATTAGAGTCATCACACCTGGCTATGTATTTTGGTTTTAAAACTTCGTAGGTGTGGTGGCACATGCTGGTAATCTCAGCGGGAGAGGGGAAAGGGAGCTGGGGTTAGAGGGTGCAAATCCACACTAAAGCTATTGCTGGTGTGCTTGTGCCTGGGTGTGACACACACATGTTGTGCCCAAGTCGAAAGACCGCCCCCCCCCCAAGAGACCACCAGAGACATGAACTCACTGGAATGCAAAAGCAAGGTTTATTGGAGCAATTCAAATCGCAGCAGGGACGTTGGACGTCGTCGTCAAGCACACCGACGCAGCAGAGGCTAGAGGAGGTGCCCTTCCCTGAGCATACATGGTTTTTAAAGGCAAAAACCACAAGGTTATCACATTAGGGGGTTTCAGTACGGGTACAATCCTGATTGGCTTGTGCTTAGGGATTTTCCAAAATTCTGCTGATAGCTCATGTTCAGTTTAACCTCAGTCATTTGTTAAACCCTTTTCCTGAGCTGTCTCCAGGTTGGGACATTCTGTGGTTAATCAGTTGCTACCAGATGGCCAGATGGCCATTCCTGACATCCTGACTTTGTACTTTCTGGGTCCTGGATCTATGTCAGCAATACTGAGAGCTCAGAACCTAAGGCTTGTTGCAAAATGGAGAGGCTTACAAGATGCAGGGGCCTTGGTTCTTTATTTTCCTCTTATGTGCCTTGTGGAAACCCAATCATGGATTCCTGATGGCCAGCTCGTAGGTGTCCCTTGTCTCTACGGGCAAATACTCTTGTGTTTTCTGTACCATGAGCTGGATTGTACCCAGCCTCTGTCTCATGTATTGGAGCAACCGGTTGAGGATACAGGGCCCAAGGGTTAGTACCAGAAACAGGACTATCAATGGGCCTATTAAGGTAGAAATTAAAGAGGTTAACCAGAGAGAGCTGTTGAACCAGGACTCAACCACCCCAGCTGGTTTCTCGGTCACGCTTTCCTTTCTCAAGTCCCTCTCTAATAATAGCCGTGTTATCTTTTACCCCTCCTGAATGATCCCTGAAGAAGCAATATTCTTCCTTAAGTGCCACACAAAGCCCCCCTTGCTGCAAGAACAGGAGGTCCAGTCCCCTTCTGTTCTGCAGCACTACTTCTGCTAAAGAGCTAGGGGAATCCTGCATGTGAGTGATGGATTTTTCTATCCATTGTAGATCCTGATCTATATTTTCTCTAAGGGCTGAATACTGCTGGTGTTGGAAGATGAGTGCCGCTGAGCCTGTTCCCACACCCGCAGATATACGGGCTCCAATTAAGACACTAAGCGCAAGGGAGATGGGTTCTCTTTGGAACCTAAGGGGAGGATGAACCGGCCTCCAGTAAACCTAAAAAAAACCCCTCATTAGCATGGTACATTATTCTCGGGACAAGTTTGACCAATATGCAATACCCCTGTACCTGACTAAGCACTTGGAAGTGTATGCAGGGAGTGAATCCTGTAGAACAAGCCCACCAAGTGTCCCCATGTGGGACTAAGTAGCTAACAGGAGAAATGCCCCTCCTGTTCCGTGGAATTACATAAGTGGAATTACAAAGAAACTGCTTTTCTTTTGGGACCTTCCGGACACTTTTACCCGGGCGAGACCTGTTCCAGGGTAAGCTTACCCACTCTGCCATCTGCAGTATGCTGGGTTACCAGTCAGAGTGACCTCGGTTGAAACCACAATCCCCTCATAGAATCAGGGAGTGGATTTGTAGCAGAGCCAGCAGGCAGAAGCCTTTATGTAGTCTGTCTCATTCAAGACCCGGTAAGTTTGGTCACGCAATTGCTGCAAAAAGTAATCCGGTGTTCTTTGGGGCAACCTGGGTGCCTGTGTTACTGTATCATTCAGGGGAGTCGGAGCCTCTGTGAGAGGGTGGCCTTCTTTGAGGCTGGGGCTGTCCTAGTTGGGGTTTTAGTGCCACAGTGGGGGTTGTCTATGCCCTGGACGTGTATAATCTCAAACCCCAGGGTTTGCCTCTAGTCCAGTTCTGTTCTGTTCTCTTTCCCTCTTCAGTAAACCTAATAACCAGTGGATTGCATCAACCTCCAGGAGTAGCCGGGAGTTGGTATGGGAAACATTCTCTCACATGGTCGGGCAGAGACCGGGGGTCCCCACAGAATCTGATTCCCCTAATCCACATATCCCCTGACCACTGTACCATGATTAGGTCTCCCTTCACCGCAGGTGTCCAGTCCATCCACCTGGTGGACTCACATCTCCAGCTACCACAATATGCTACATACATTTGTTTCTCTGTGTCTTTGTCCAGGAGTGGCCCCGGGGAAACATAGAATCCCTTGCTCCTTGTCTTGGCTCACCCTCCCACCCCCACCGGGGTACTGCAGCCTCAGCCGAGACTTTTTCTACCTCATCTGAAGAGGCTCCTCAATCAGCCCCTCCCAAGTCACAGAGGTCCACATACAGATTGGGGAACCAAGTGGCCCTGAGTGCCATGGACAAGGTGCTATTGATTATGTTACCGTTTTGGCTTTGATGATGAGCCAGGTGAGGTGCGTGGGTCGATGGGGGTTCCAAGGTAGATGGACACTAGCTGCCTCAACTCCCAGTAGCATAGAAATCAGGGGCAGCAATAGCACCAGAAATGCAGGATTCATGGGGTGGGTCATTCTTCTCCACATAGCTTGAGCTTCAGTGGGTTGGAAGGATGCTTGGAGTCTTCCCAGGCTTCTCCCCAGTACTCCTCTGGAAGGGCAAATGGGTCTGCCAGTCGAACATGGGAGTAGTGAACCCAGGTTGCGATGCTGTCCACTTTGAGGGCGGTAAGCATTGTTAGTTATTTAGTGGTGCTCTTACCCTGTGAGGAAATGTCATGAAACACAACAGAATCCACTAACAAGAGTTTTATTAAGATAAAGGAGAGAGACAGATGTGGTCAGACCTGTGAAAAGACATGTGATTAAAGATGGAGTTGGAGCCGGGCGGTGGTGGCGCACGCCTTTAATCCCAGCACTTGGGAGGCAGAGCCAGGCGGATCTCTGTGAGTTCGAGGCCAGCCTGGACTACCAAGTGAGTTCCAGGAAAGGCGCAAAGCTACACAGAGAAACCCTGTCTCGAAAAACCAAAAAAAAAAAAAAAAAAAAAAAAAAAAAAAAAAAAAAAAGATGGAGTTGGAAACATGGCTCCAGTTTATAAAGGCTGGGCTGCGCCTGCGCACACAAGCCCATGTGGCTATTCCACCCATGCGTGTAGATCACATGGTTGCACTGAGTGCTTTACGCAACCACGCAAAGCCACAGGGTCCTGGTCACACGAGACATTTTGGCCCGGAAATAGCTAGGTGGAAGTGTCTAGGTCTGCTGGGCATGTGCAATCATGCCCAACCATGGGGGTGTATTGTGAATCCCTATCATCCCAGACTCTTGTTTTTTTAAAAAAGAAAAAATGTCAGATGAGTGGGTATGGGGCACGGTTTCTCTCAAAGACTGCTTCCGGCTGAATGGTGGGCGTCGGTTGGCTCTTGGGGGAAATGAGGAGGGTAGCTTCTGAAGTCCTGGGATGATGGTGGGAGTCCTGGAATGAAGTTCTGTCATCCCCTTGTTCTGCAGCTGTCCATCCTTTGTGGTGTGGCTGGGAACCTTTTGTCTGACAAGATACTGGTGACATAGAAAAAGCTTAGAGAAAAAAGAATCATTATTATTTTATTTTTGGAGGTGACATTTATCTGAGGTAGATCTGGCCTGTCCAGATGGAGACATGTTAAAAAGGTGGCTGTGATAGAATTAATGATTATTATGGTGTTTTAGTACTCTGCTTAATTTTTACCTGAGACAAGCCTTATTAGAGGTAGTTTATTTAAGGCACCTGTTTCCTTCATTAGTTTAGCATTTAGGAAACGCAGGTGATCAGTTGCTGAATATTGAACAATGATAGATAGACTGTTGTATTACATTTTTTTAATCACCTGGATAATTTTGATGGTCCTTTTTGTCTTCAGCTCTATGTGGCCCTAGTTGGGAAAGGAAGGGGTGATATCTTATTCCTCTGGAATTGGTGACAAGGCAGTGGATCCTGATGTCTTCTGGAGCTTGAGAGTGCAAGGCCCTGTTTGTTTTACTGTATATGAAGAGAGATTTTTCTGGGATGGAGGTGAGATAAAAGGTTTTAGATGAGACAGGTGGACCCAGTGAGGAGAGCCCTGGAGTTTAGCAGCTGTAGGAGTCACAAGAACTACCTTGAAGAGTCCCTGCCAATAGGGGAAAGGGGTGAAGGGCGCTGGCCTGGAGGAAAGAGAAGAATCTGATCCCCGATGTGAATTGGAGGTGGACAATGATTGTCACACGGCTGAGGTAATGAACAGTCTGCAAATCTCCATAGGATAGACCTTAGGTGACATAGAAGGGGAGTT